GTTTTTCCGGGGCATTCATGCTTGTCAGAACGCATAGTTGCACAACATGCGTCTGTGCATGGCACACAATTACGCGATGCGTAGTTATGCACATGGGGAGCTGAATGACAAGACGTTTTTTGGGCAAGCTTCCGCTTCTTACTGTGTTCGAATGGACCCAGTGAGGCGAGGACCACATCCGCTTCGCCCTTAACCCATCAGCGACAGCCTTAAAGGGCGAAGCCTATATGACATAGAACATTGGTTACGTACTGTAACCCCAGATTCTATGAATATAGGCGTAGCCCTTTAAGCGTCGGGCCTCACTGGCTCCTGAATAGCTGAAGAAAAGAATAAGCTATTTGGGAGCAGATTACCCGCTCTTAACGTAATTTATACGGATCGGGTGGGGCCCACACAGCAGGTGGGCGTGGACTAATTTTTTCAGTACGATGCTTGCGCATAACGGGATAAACCCATCAGCGACAGCCTTAAAGGGCTACGCCTATATTCATAGAATCTGGGGTTACAGTACGTAACCAACGTTTTCTTTCCACTGTTGCCACTGTGCTTGCTCAGGATGGGAGACTGTGACGAAGCCAAGATTCAACTTGTCTGCTGGATTCCTGAGATAGAGAACTTTACTAATTGGCTTTTATGTATGTAAATGTTTCTGTAAAGTGCCCTGAGACAAATTTGTTGTGATTTGGCGCTATATAAATAAACTGAATTGAATTGAATTAACTGATTAACTTTTAGATTCAACTCAATTAAGGATGGATGCCAAAGCAAAGCACCATTACCAAACACAAAACTGTCTTTAACTCTTTTAGTTTTACCGATAATGAGGAAACTTTGTTGTGGAATTAGTTGAGTCCTCTCCAGTCTATACTCCAAACTGCATATGTTTACTTGCCATCAACTATTAAAGTCAACTTTGTTTATCTTTAAAAAAAAAAACCCTCATGATATTTTAATGAAACTTTTGGAAACTAATTATTGGTCATACATCTACAACTGATTAGCTTTTGGCATCAACCCAATTCAAGATGGCTGCAACGTTTGAATGACATCAGTAAACACAAAAATGATTGTAACTCCATCCATCCATCCATTATCTTTACCCACTTATTCCATTTTGGGTCACGGGGGTCGCTGGTGCCCATGTCCAGCAATCACTGTGCGAGGGGCGGGGTACACCCTGGACGGGTCGCAAGTCCATCACAGGGACACATAGAGACAAACGAGACAAACAAACATTCACTCTCTCACTCACACCTAGGGACAATTTAGAGTTACCAATCAGCCTAACATGCATGTTTTTGGTCTGTGGGAGGAAACCGGAGTACCCGGAGAAAACCCACGCATGCACGGGGAGAACATGCAAACCCCACCCAGAAGGCCCCTGGACCGGGGTTTGAACCAAGGGCCTGCTCGCTGAGAGGCAGCAGCTCTACCAGTTGTGCCACCGTGCTGCCCTGATTGTAACTCAGTCAATATAAAAAAAATTAAGCTAAATATTGAGCTAAATTTTGGTGTGGTAATAGATGAGAGTCATTCTCAAACTATTCTTTGAGAGCTAATATCGCTCATGAGATCTTGCACAAGATCACCCATAACATCATGTACAAAGTTTGATCAAAAGATCTATAAAGTAAAAAAACACAACAACAGGCAAAAAATAATTTAAGAAATAAACACATCACCCAAACCTGACTTCAGTTTTTTTTTTTTTAACGGTCAGGGTTGGGTGTGGAAGGGAGTTTGGGGTTCCTCCCCCAGAAAATTTTGAATAAAATAGATGCAATTTCCTGTATTTTGGTGTATTTTAATGTGTTGTTTAACATCTACATTTACCTACATTTGTAAACACTCTGTCAAACATCCTACCCCGCCCCTTACTTGACAGTTCCGAGCCACTCTTCTCCACTGAACTCACTGTCTGACTTCACATGTGAAATCTAAAAAAGTTAAGTTAAGTTAATCTCTGGACGTTCAAAAAACAAACAAACAAAAAAATTGTAGAAACATTTCGTCTTTCATCCGAAAGACTTCTCCAACGTCTGTTCATTGCGGCCTGTGAGCTCCTGCTTGGTTAGCTTGTTCGACACTCACCCACCACACTTAGGGACTGTTTTTAAGGGTAGAGGTGGAAATGCTTGCTTGAAGAGGCAGATCATATATGATATTAAGAAATCGTAAGTGGCTGTTGTGTTTAAAATTAGTGTTTATATAATTACTTTCAGTTTACATGTCCAATATAAGTTTATTTGTTCAAGGCAGTCATATTTGTTTATAACTTTATAATAGTAAGCCTTAGAGTTACCGGATCCAAGCAAACAGTTACCAGAACGCACCCTGTCAAAATATGAGTTCACAGATCTTGTTCCTGCAGGATCCAGCTCAAATTAAGCACTGGCGTTGGTAAGAGAGATCATATCTCTCAAGTTTTAGCTTCTCTCCATTGGCTCCCTGTCAAGTCCAGAATATAATTCAAAATCTTACTTCTAACAAAGCTCTCAACAACCTAGCTCCATTTTATATTCGAGATCTTATGGTTCTATTTTCCTAACAGAGCACTTCACTTTCAGACTGCAGGTTTACTTGTGGTTCCTAGAGTTTCCAAAAGTACAATGGGAAGCAGATCCTTCAGTTATCAGGCTCCTCTCTTGTGGAACCAACTTCCAGTTTCCGTCCGTAAGGCTGACACATTGTTCAGTTTTACGACTGGGCTTAAGACTTTCCTTTTTTATAATAAATCCTAGTTAGGGTTGACTTGGGATTCATGAGCTATCACTTAGCTATGCTGCCATAGACTTAGACTCACTCTGCTGCGGTCTTTACTACTCTACCTGTAGATAGTACGTCTGGACCTGTCATTCTGTATTTGTCTGTTTCTCCATCCTGTCCTGTCAAATCCCCACCAGTTGAAGCAGATGGCCGCTCGTCCTGAGCCTGGTTCTGCTGGAGGTTTCTTCCTATTAAAAGAAAGTTTCACTTTTCCACTTTTGCCAGTGTGCTTGCTCAGGATGGGAGACTGCAATGAAGTGAAGTTTCAACCCAATTTGCTGGCTTCCTTAGATTTTTCCTAAATGGCTTTTATAAAATATCTGAATGTTTCTGTTCAGTGCCCTGAGACGACTTCTGTTGTGACTTGGTGCTATATAAATAAACTGAATTGAATTTAAATTAGGTTTTTAATCATCGGTTTAGAGTATTTTGGAAGAAACTGTGTATAAGTCTTTCTTTGTTGTTTGCGTGTGTTTTTCATTTCTTTGAACGGATGCCATGCCAATCTCAGTTGGACACTTCCCAGGATCACATGCTTGGTGCTCTGTGATATCTCAGGGTTTCAGACTCTCCCTGGAGGATCCACACATGGGGGAGTGAAAATGACTGCAAGGCAAAACTAACCCTAGCTGGATCTGTGGGGCTAATTTGAGCTGCTCAGTAATCAAGAATAATTTCCCCAAAATTATCAATAAATAAGAATAAATTTACAGGAAAAAAGTTTAGGTTTTCCACATGCATAATACAAATCATACCAAGATGGATGTGAAGCTTGTCCCTTGCTTCTATGTGCAAAGTGAAAAAGAAGGCAAAACATTAATGAGTAATTAATGATTATAATTACGAGGAATATTTTTTATTGTCTATGCATATACTGTATACAGCTATTCCAGATAATTTCATTTTATAGTTTATTTTTATAAGTTTATTTTATTTATTTTATTTTTTTTATTTAATTTAAATAAAATAAAAATTTATACAGAAACATTTTGAGTTGATAGAAATTTTAGGGAAAAAAATTGCGCCTAAACTTATTTTGTTACTTTTTGTTAGTGTTATCTTTAACTATCTGCTAAAACATATGTATATCACAAGCAAAAAATATGTTCAGTGTGATTTTTTTGTGTTTGAAAATTAAATTATTTGTAGAAAACACATCATTAAGACATGATGTGAATGATTACAAATGTTTGACAGATTCATAATTAAATTAATCTTGTGAGTTTTGAGTTTTCTTTGGACCTTTACATTTTGCGTTTGTTTAAAGCTGCAACAAGTTAAAAACACTGCATTAAAATGTAATTCACCCAAACACTCCTTTTGCAAAACTACACCTTTATTAAAAATAAATTAGACAGAGAACATTTATTTAAAAAAATTAAGTTTAAGTTACTAAAGAAATCAAAACTTGATATTTTATGTGTTTTTAAATATGTCTCCATAGTAGAAATTTGTTTATTTCTTTCACAGTTATGATTGTATAATATAAATTTGAAGTCATTTAGCAAGTTCAAGGTTCAAAAGTCAAGGTATTTTATTGTCATTCTCATCACATGTGGTACATGAGTTGGAACGAAATTGTGTACTCAAGGTCCCAGTTACATCCAAAAAAGCAAAAACATAAAGCATAAAAAGAAACAGTATATAAGGATCTAATATATACACTAAGCTATATACTAAACAAACGCTAAATGATTCCTTAATATACACTAAGCTATATACTAAACAAACGCTAAATGATTCCTTAAAAGATCTAAGCCATACGCTAAACATAATGTAAAACAATATGGTATATTAAACAGCAGCTCGAACATGAGTCTATAGTGAAAATGGGTATGAATGAATACAGCAGCATGAGATAGCAGCACAGATAAGTCCCATATCACCAATTGAAGTGGCATTACAGTGATTTTTCTGGTTAAGGATTCATACATAATGTCCATACATAAGGGTGTTTTATATATATATATATATATATATATATATATATATATATATATATATGTACGTATATATCGAGAATAAACGTGAACATCTGATTTTTTTTTTCAGATTTGTTCTTTTGTATTTGAATATTGGACTGTTGTATATTTATTGATTACAACGGACTGTCAATACGAACATTTTTACATACTGAAACGTCACATTTGAGCGCGCTGAATCTAACAAAACCTTTCGTCATCACATTGCGACACCCACTTTTTCCAGTCGGTAGAGAGCAGACCGGAGACGAACAAACCTGGCGTTTGTTGAGGAGCCTGTGAACGGCAAAATTACCCACAAGTAACCCATAAATTGGTTTCGACGGGTGTGTTTTTCCTCTTGTAATAATCGGAGGCCACCATTAGTCAGTCAGAGGAAGAACCGAGTCAAAACTTCGAGCAGTGCACGTATTTTAACAGAACAGCGGTGTTGTGAACGAACTTGACTGTTGGAGGCTAGTCGCCGCTCGTGCTAACGTGTTAGCTTCTTTTAGTCAGGTGCAAACTGCTGCTGCCGGTGGGAAATTAAGCCAGCATCAACCTGCAAAAGATTATTCGCTTTGGATACGTGCTCAGACGGAATCGGCGGAAACTTTTCCTTCCTTTGTCATCGCATTTCCGAGGTAATCAAAGCTTAATGCAATATAATAACTGCAATATAGCAGTGTTGAACCAGAGCAGAGGGGCCTAGCATTAGCCAGCTAATGCATAGCTGGCTAACTATCTGTTAGCACTGCTAACAACTTAAGCTAGTGAAAGTGGTATTTGTTTGCGTTCTGAAACTTTAAAAGTCGAGTTATTCTCGATGTGGATGAACGCATCATGATAATTACGTGTTAGTTAAGTCCGTCACCAACACGGAGCTCCCAAAACAACCTGCACAAACTGAGCCAAACGCTGCAAAGTGTGCAGGGAGGAAATGCACTTCGTAGATAGGTCTTAGTCGAACAAGTTATCCTCAAACTCTTCTCAGTCAAGGAACAAAAAGACGCATCAGTGCAGACAATATTAGCTACAGTCTGCTGAATAGACCAGAATAATTATTTACAGTGTGGACTTCAGGATCTCATCATTCCTGGTGGAATATGCACCTATGTGAATACGATCACACCCACAACACCATATAGTCTCCTGGCTTGCTGAAAGACTATACAAACAGACCAGTGACCAAATGCACACTGTTTACGCCCAGTGACGAAAGAGAACGAGGTTATTCAGGAAAAAAAATCGATGCATTTAAAAGTAGATTTGTAATTATTTTCTTTTTAGATGTATATATACTATATACTACTATATACTTCACACAGAGTCACTGACTGATATCTGCTGTGAATCTACAGCAAACTATGATCTGATATTAATTAGGACAAGACAGCCACTGTGCTGGACAAATGCTAGTTTTCAGTGCACAACACAAAGAGCAGCAGTGTTTCCTGTGCTAGTCAAGTTATGTATTGTCGTTCATATTTGGACTCTTTTTTTAAATTTTAGAATAGTTTCTGTAAACTAGTAGTACACTTTAGATTTATTCATCCTGCTTTGAAGCATCAGAGGAGAAATAATGAGATAAAAACTGTTTACTGACTTGTTGATTAACCTATAAGTGAAGCCTCTTAAAAAACTTACTATTACTTGTTCCACTGTTGCTGTAGTGCATAAATCTTCATAAACTGAAGGACATGTTCAGTGTAGGGGTGCACCGATTGTAGTTTTCTGGCTGATCACCGATTTTTAAAAAGTCTGACCTGCTGATTCTGATTTTGGCCGATACCGATTTTGTTTTATAAGCGACACTGTCAGGTGTTATAAAGTCACAATGCACCTTCAATTTTCCAATCTTATTTTATTGAAAAACATACCCTTGAACAATATCCTAGAAACAATACAAACTTGTTTTAACTGGCCATGAGGTAGTGCTCTGAAATATCAATGAAGTTCAGACAATTGTTGTTAAAACGAACAAAAAACTTGGTAAAATCGTTTTCTCATGCAAGTATTGGCCGATTTCCCCAAATTAAGGAAATCAAATCTGGACCCATTTATCGGTGTACCCCTAGTTCAGTGTGCTCTAAATTTTTTTCCTGCTTTGTTTTTATTCAACTACACCTTGCTTGGCACAATAATTCAGAGATTCTTTATTGTCGTTCACACCACATGTGCTGGAACAAAATTATGCACACAGGGTCCCAGTTACATCCAACAATAAAAATGTAAAAGAAAAACAGTAGTAACATCTAAGATATGAACTAAGAAAAACATCAACTAAAAATACACTAAGCATTAATAGCATCAAAGCAATATGTTGAACAGCAGCACGAACATGAGTCTTTGTGAGCAGATGAGCACACATGAACACAGTAACATGAAACAGATCAGCAGCAACATTAAAACAGATCAGCAGCAACATTGAAACAGATCAGCAGCAACATGATGTGATTTTTCCACAGTGATGATCCTGGTTAGAGATTCATGAGTCGAACAGCCTCAGGGTAGAAGCTGTTCCTCAGTCTAGTGGTTCTACACTTAATGCTCCTTGACCTCCTTTCTGAGGGGAGCGGGGCAAAAAGTGTGTGTGCTGGGTGAGTGGGGTCCTTCATGATGCAGGTGGCCCTCTTCCTACATCTGGAGGTGTAGAATCGATGTCTGTGACGGTGGAGAGACTGACTCCAACAGACTTCAATATCATGGTGATACAACAGAACGCAGTAGGAAGTTTACATTGTTATATTTAACTTGCTTTAATGCGCAGACTAAAACAAAGGGGCATTGTTGTAGCTGTAAGTCACTTTCAAAGGTGTGTGCAGGTTGAGAAACATTTGGGTTAATTTTACTAGTGTCTTGACAATCTAATTACATCACATTTACCAGATTTGTGAAACTGTTATTGTGTATTTTAGGTTTGCAAAGAGCAGAGAATCTCACCCAACACTTTGTGAAATGGATTTGCAGAATAAACCTGTAAGACGTGCGCTTCAGTTTAAAGAATTAAATCAAGGAGATATTATTTATTTAACCACAACCCGACAGTTTTTATTTTATTGACCACCACTGTTGATCAGATGGTCACTTTTCATTAGTGTTTTTTGTTATCTACTTTATTTAGGTACTTATTCTATAAAATTGCCAGAAATATTTCTTCAACTAAAGTTTTTCTTGTGAGATTGTTCCTCCAAGACTCCTAAATTTATAGAAAGACCAGGAATGATGATTATTGATTAGATAGAGCCAATATGACACAGACACAGTAAATCTTTTTATTATTTTTCCTCTCGTGTCACAAACATTACAATGTTAGACTAATTATTTACTGTATCAGCAACTGATTACCGTTTTGTTCTTACGCGAATAATGGCCGAAATCTTTTTCCGTTGAAGGACCGATGAGAGCAATTTGGATGCATTTTTATTTATTTATGATATTAAATTTGATATTTTTAAAACAAACCTGGAGATAATTATTAGAAGTGAACAATGAGAGGACAACTGATTAGTCCATTAACAACAGCATTGTTTGTATTAGTCTCCGCTAGAACTATTTGTCATCAAAATGTCTTGGATTCATTCTTGTGAAAGTATTTACACCACAAAAAGTTGCAGAACTGTTCTGTTGCATGCATTCAATTTAAGGAATGTGGTCTCCCCCTGAGATCATCTTTATGTTTAAGTCAATGTGACTTGGTCATCATTTGAGAATGCATGTACAAAGATAGAACATTGATGTCGAGACAAGAATGGCATATTTTCAGTTCACATGGGGATCGGGGTGATGAAATTTAATTTTCCGGCTGATTGCTGCTGCAAGGCCTTGAGAAGTGAGAAACGAAGGGTATCCCAGAGTTTGTTTGCTCAAAGCCTTACATTCCCACACTCCTGATTTTTCTCTTACAGACCCCAGGGTTTTCTTAGACCCATTCTCATGCGAACAGTAAGATTTCCTGCCGTTTGAAGTGTGTATTAACAAATCATGAAGACAGTGGGCAGTGCTTAGGTGGCATACAATCTTTGAAGGAAGGTCTAATTGTATTGGATTATTTTGCTTTCTAAAAATAAAAGCAAAATACATTTGTAAGCATTTAATGTTGTGGGTGATCACACTGTCCCAAAAATGTTTAGGTAACATGGAGTTCAATCTATAGATATGTATTTTGTTTTTGATGATTTTCTGATATGTAATGTTTTGGTTCATTGGCGTGCTATTGATAGGTTTTGTGTACAGAGCACGGCAGAACAAAACAGAGGGGACATCCTACTCCTTTTTCTGATTCAAATTTGTATAATGTTCAATATGGTCGGCATGGTCGCTCAGTTGGTAGCGCTGTTGACTCTCAGCGAGAGTAGGGCTGTCGCAATAAACAAATAATCAATTAATCGCATGATAAATGAAAATTATCAACCTCATTTTCATTTGTCGGCTTTATCGTTTCTTCGTGTCTTTCTGTTTCTACTGAAGACACCGGATGACAAAAGGCTCAACTCGGGTGCTCTTCACTGACCCATCAGTTTCTCTTTTCTCTTTAACATCTGTTTTAATGATCCAAAATCGCATTTTTGGATCGTTAAAAGCAGTTAAGCTGAGAAGCGAAGCTACAAGCTAAGCTAATAGGCCGACCTCGGGAAAAAAACTCCGGTCTTGTCCATGCTCCAAAATTCATGGTTGAAACCCATGCCTTTGTCTAAAAAGTTATTTTTCTCTGCAAAAAAAAGCCGAGAACTTGTTTACTGATTTTTTTAAATTAAAAGCTTTGTGTGAAAAATGATATGCTAAAGAGCTCAAAATACACAGAGCATCTGCCATTTTGAGAACTGAAGAGAGACCGCCCATGTCACGTCAAGGGGCCTCCCTCCCATTTTTTGTTAAAGAGACACGCTGCTCGCTCCATCACTATCCATCCATCGCTTCAAACATTATACTGCCATCCAGTTGTCAAAAAAGGCACTACACACAAAAATTAACCAACATTTCTTCTTAAAATTGACAATAATTACTAAATTAATTAAATTTCAAACAATATTATCGTTTATCACAATAATTTCTGAGACAAATAATCGCCCAGCAAAATTTATTATCGTGACACGCCTAGCGAGAAGGTCGCTGGATCAAATCCCATCAAGGGACCTTTCTGGGTGGAGTTTGCATGTTCTTTCTGTGCATGCGTGGGCATTCTCCGTGTACTCCAGTTTCCTCCCACAGGCCAAAAACATGCATGTTTAGGCTGATTGGTATCTCTGAATCGTCCTTAGGTGAGAGTGAATGATTGTCTCTTTGTGTCCTTGTGATGGACTTGCGACCTGTCCAGGGTGTCCCCTGCCTCTCGCACAGTACCTGCTGGATATGGGCACAAGTGACCCCTGTGATCTGAAAAGGAAGAATAGGGTCAATATAATTGATGGATGTTCAATATGACCATATATTTTAATTCCACCTTCAAGAGAAGTTGTGTGCAGTGTTTGCGCATGCCATCATTTATTCTAGAAGAAAATTTATATTGACCAAAAAGACCTGAATGTCATATCGACGTAGATTTTGTCATAATTAAAGTGTGGTGAAGCACAGTCATAAAGTAAAGTAGAACACAAGCCCAAGGGTTGCTTTGGTGTTGTTTAATCATCCTGTTGCTGCTGCG